ACCCAAGGCCAACATCGTTCTAAATGGAGAAAATCTGGAACAAGACAAGGATGTCCTCTTTCACCCCTCCTATTAAACAACATCCTTGAAACTCTAGCCAGAGCAATTAGACAAAAGAAATTAAAGAGATACGAATAGGTAAAGAAGAACTCATAAACTATCACTATTTGCTGATGACATGATTCCATAGATACAAGATCCAAAAAATTCCACCAGAAAACTTCTAGAACTAATAAGTGAACTCAGCAAAGTAGCAGGATATAAAATCAACACCCATAAATCAAACACATTCCTATATATCAGTGATGAATTCACTGAAAGAGAAATTAGAAAAACTACTCCATTCACAATAATCTAAAAAAAAAAAATACTTGGGAATCAATCTAACAAAAGAAGTGAAAAACCTCTACAATGAAAACTACAGAAAAGAAAGAAAGAAATTGAAGAAAACCTCAGAAGATGGAAAGATCTCCCATGCTCCTGGGTAGGCAGAATTAATATTGTCAAAAGGGCCATACTACCAAAAAGGTTATACAGATTTAATGCAATTCCTATTAAAATCCCAGTGATATTCTTCATAGAAATAGAAAAAGCAATCATTAAATATATTTGGAAAAATAAGAAACACAGAATAGTTAAAGCCATCCTTAGCAAGAAAAGTCAAGCAGGAGGCGTCACAATACCAGATCTTAAACTACGCTACAGAGCAGAAGGAAATTAAACCTGTATCTCTCACTCTGCACAAAAGTCACCTCAAAGTGGATCGAAGACTGAGGTACTAGAAGAGAGACCCTGTGCCTAATAATAATAATAATAAAAGGCCCAAATCTTAACCATGTTGGGCCTAGAATCAGATGAATGGATAAAAAAAAAAATGTGGTATCTATACATACTCAATACTACTCAGCTTTAAAGAAGAGTGAAATTATGGTATGTGCCAGTAAATAGATGGAGTTGGAGAACATCATGCTAAGTTAAGTAAGCCAATCCCAAAAAACCAAAGGCAGAATGTTTTCTCTAACGTGCGGATGTTAATTCACAATGAGGGGGGCAGGGCACCAGAGAAGAACAGCGTGACCTTAGATTAGGTAGAGGGACGTGAAGGGAGGGGAGGGGAGGGGATGTGGGAGAGGAAAGAGAGTAGAATGAAACAGACATTGTTCCTGTATGTATCTATGTGACTCATGACCAGTATGAGTTTCTCGTTTTCAGAAATTGGTCAGTTCAGTTTGACTCATTCCTTAGAAGCCTCATGAAAATTTTCTGCAGGATCTTGAACTTCATCATCGTCCTCTCCAGTAGCAAGTGCCTTTCCATCCACAGATTGTGTGGGCAGGGTTCAGCCAGTCTCCTTAATCCGGTCAGACTGCCTGCAGGCCTCCTTCAAGCCCGTATTGGGCAGCACTTGGGTCGTGGCTCTGTCTCAGCGTGGCCCGTACAGGTGAAAGTGTTTGCTGCCACAGACGCCTGGACTTGAGGGTTGTTAAGGTGGACCGCTGTTCCTTGGTCTGTAAACATATTCCCGTCTTCAACACCAGAGATGTTGTTTACTCCTAACTTCTTTAAGCAGAGTTGAAGTTTTTTACCATCTGCGGTAGCTCTTCTTTCGGCAAGCAGTTCCTTTCCCACCAATGCACACGGTGCCTGCAGTTTGGTTTTTCCTGGTTTGTGACAGTTTCTTTCACCTTGCCAGAGTGGAAGTGGGGCCGCGTGGGGGGACAGGGCTGGCGCTTAGCGGGTCTCTGGCAGACCGGCTGAGATTAGGCACACACACATGGGGACACAAGATCAGGAGAATCTTATTAGCACAGTTATGCTCCATGAAAGGGACACTGTCCATCTGTGTAGGAAATGCACCCATTGAGGGTTCAATTTAAAAGAATGCATTGCTAGATGGTCCAGTTAAAAAGGGGTCATCTAGTAAAACTCACTCAGTGGAGCACCTCCAAGATGCATTCCCAATGCTCCTTGTTAGACTAGACTCCTTCTGGGCAGGGTGCAGGGAGAGGGTGCATCTCCCTTCCAGATTAGACCACCCTGCAGGCTTTCCAGGTGACAGAACTGTGTGTCTACCTAAAGGGAGTGTCAGCAAGAATGGGACAGTGACAACCTCGCCAAAAGTTCCTGACCTAAAGGACAGGCCAGCTACACCAATCTCAGAGCAAGTGTCCTTCCAAGTGGCAACTGTCCACCTTGCTCTGGGAAAGAAGCGTGGGGCAGCCGCTGGCCAGGTCACAGCCGGCTGGCACACTTCTTAGGAACAGAATGGGTGGGAAGCACCCAGAGCCTCCGAGGAGCACCCACTAGGAAACCTGGAAACTCCTGGTACATGTGTAGAGTGGCCCTGACGTTGAGGACAGTGATCCAGGTCCCCCAAACTGGCTGACTCACATCACAATGACGACATGAGGTTCCACCACCCCCTCGTGGGCTTCCCATGGATCCTCACGGCAGCCTTACGTGGCAGGAATCATCCATCCCACACTCAGATACAGACACTCAGCTTTGAAGGGGTTTGTCCCTGCCCCGGGTCAGCAGAAGACAGCCAGGGTCCTTCCCTGGGGCCGTCTGCCTCCTGCGTCTCCAGGCGTCTTGAAGGAGAGCACACTGTAAGACATCCCCCATCTTGGCCATGAAGACATGGTCAGTGGTTTCTGAGGTGTAGGGCCACCACTGCCATCCTGATCCAAGACCCCTCCCTTGGGGCCAGATGGAACCACTTAGTGGGCCGCGGCTTAGAATGGAAGTGTGCACATTTGTATAATTAGTGGGAAAGAACCAGAAAGGAATACGGATGAGAAAGGGGAAGAGGGGGGCAGGAAACCCGTGGGGAGAGAAGGAACTAGAAGAGCAAAGGGTCAAAAGTGACAGGAGGACCTTGTGGAAGGACCGGAAGTGAAGGAGAGCATCTGAGATGGGGTGGTGGGCAGCTCCAGGGCCCAGGCCAAGCCCGCCACCCTCTGCCTTCATTCACACAGAACCTCAGCCATGGAAGAAAGGCCTGTCCCTCATGGCGGTGATGCCCCTCACACTTTGTCAAGCTCATGACCCCTGTCACTCAGGCCTGGAAAAGATAAAATAAGACAGCACTTGTACGTGGCTCTTCTGTAAGATGCCTGTGGAGCCCAGCTGACCCATCTCAATTGCTCAGCACTTCAAGGCCTATTCTGTGTGTTTCCTGTGCCTTGTCCCAGGCAGGGCCCACAATCACCTTGTGGTCCCACTGTGCAAAGCAGGGTCAGGACACAAGACACAGCACAATCTGTCTAACTGCTGGGAGGTCCCGGGATCTAGCCTGGAGCAAGCACGTCCCCAGCTGTACTGTTGGGTTGTGGGCTCATGAGCATCTTCCCAAGATAAGACAATGGTCCGCCCATGCTCCTGGCCTTCCTGCAAGCACCTGCCAACTCTCAGAGGCTACCCCACCCTGCTCCCAGCCCCACTTCCATGCCCTATGACAATCCTCCCAAGGCCCCTCCCTGTGTGGGCTCCCATGCTCTCAGCAGGGCACCACCCAGCAAGAGCACCGAGGCCAGCCAGACCTGGAGAGAGCCCCAGGCCACGGGCCCATGAGGGAGGCCAGCTGGGTCATGCAAAGGCTTCGGAACCAAACAACCCGAGGAGAACCTAACCCGATGCCAAGAAAGCACACAGTCAATCCTGGGCTTGGAGAGCTGGCCTGGCGGTGTGCAGAGGGGACTTGGTGAGCACTCGGTGTGAGAACTGGCAAATGGACGCCACGGACGGTCTTGAGAAAATGGTACACTCCAGCTCTTGAATTGAGCAAGCATAAGCAGCAGACTTAAAGTCCACTAGCACAGACCTTTTTATATTGGAGTACACTTAGCTTTCTCCCAACATGAGAAGGCAGTAGGAAGAGAGTAACTGGTTTCTTATATCCTCACCCACTCTTCTCACATTTGTAGCATTGATATTTATGTAGTCTAATTTCCCCAACACAAAATTTTAAATATAACTCCTCCAAATAATGCAGTAGAACTGGGGTGAGTAGCTCAAAGCACCCTGAAATGACCTCAGTGAGACCCCACCAAGGGGCTGGGCTAGTCAGCGTGCCATTGCTGTTACAAATACATGACATGAGCCACCTGCAAAGAAGGGAAGGATGTGCCCACATCTTCAGAGGTTCAGTCCATGGCTGGCTGGGGACCTTGCTTTGGGGCCAGCAGGGAGGCAGCGCAGCATGGTGAGTCCACAGGGGGGAGCCACACTGCCAGGACTGGAGGACCACCGAGGAGGCCCCTCCTCTTAGAGGCCCCCTGCCTCCCAGGAGCACCACACCAGGGACCACACCTGGGCCTCTGGGGACACTTATCCAAAGCACAGGAGGGGCAGTTCTCCCAACCTGAGGTTCTCAGACAACCCAAGGACACATAGGGAGCTTAGGTCCTTTTCCTCAGAGAGAAACAGTAGGGCCTAACTGCATTCCAGCCCCTTCCTCATCCTAAAAGCCATGAGATCAGAAATTGATGAATTTGAACTCCAATTTCACCTTTTCAAGATCAAGAAATGCTCACAGCCTCCACCTCTGGGCCTCTCCCGTGCGAAGGCGTCACACAACAGAAACACACGTGAACGCAGCCTTGAAGAGTCTCGTGTCCGTTTTTCTACTTTCTTGATTCGTTACAGACCCTCTGCGTGGCCTTCTTGCCTTATTTAAAATTGCTTGTGAAGTGATGCGCTCTAAATAAAACTCTCTTGACACCAACGTGAAGAACACTCAGCCAACACATGACTCCGAGGGACGGGTCAGCCCTTCTCCCAGGAGCTACCAGGACCTGTTCCAAAGCACAGCGCGCCACCAACCACTTCTGGGAACAGGCTGGGTCTTCAGCCCTCTCTCTCTCTCTTAACAGAAAGAACACATTTCCTTTGGGAAAACACAAGCCTCTTTCCTTAGCCAGAAAATCAGCATCCCACCTCCTGTCCACTTCAAAACCACAACCAGACACCACGGCACTAAGGTGAGTAGAGGGACTTACAGTTGAAGATGCCCGGAGGCGGATGCTCGGTCACCAGCAGACAGTTTTCTTCATCACTGTTGTCCCCACAGTCGTTCTGTTGGTTACAGACCAGCGAACCGAGATATAAGCATTTACCGCTGGTGCAGGTGAATTTGCAGTCTGAAAAAGTACAACAGAAAGCATGAGGAATCAGTACAAGCTGGGTGCTCTTGAGCTGCTGCTGCCACTGGGCTCTCCATCTGGATGTCCCAGGAAGGCACCTCACCTCCAGGTAAGGAGGTAAAACACACAGGGTCGCCCCCGCCACCGCCACGGCACAGGAGCTCTGAGCTGCCTGCGGCACTACCCAAACCGGAGCAGCACATGGACGCCCTCCCTCTCCACAACCTGCCCTTCCTGCAAATGGGTTCTGTGGTTCCACTTGAAAACACCCTTGTCAATCAATTTTCCATACCTTCAAGGACGGGGGAAGCCCCCCAGCAGTGGCGGGGTCTCCAGCAGAACTCAGGAGTTCCTATTGAACTAAAGGGGGCCCATGAATTTTATTTCCAAACTGCCATTTTGTTGTGGTGAAAGTCTGGGCAAAATATTGAAACCTCTCTGGTGTACATGCATCTCATGCTAAGCAAAATCCACTTTACTAGCAGCAGAGGTAGCATTGGTTTTATGATGTGAAACACAGGCAGATTATATGTGCTCTCTGCTACCTCAGAAGCATCTGTGTCAAGGGCCACGTTGATGAATTATAAAAATAGTATGAAGCAGGTCTGATGGTATATACCTGTAATCCCAGCCACTAGGGAGGCTGAGGTCAGTTCAAGGTCAGCCTGGGTGACTTAGCAAAACCCTGTCTCAAGATAAAACGAAAAGGGTGGAGGATGTAGTTTAGTGGGAGGGTTCTTTCCTAGCATGTGCTAGGCTTGGGGTTCAGACCTCTGAAATCTGTACAAATCAACATTTTAAGATGGAATTCACCTTAGCAAGACTTTAAAATAAATTTGCAAGCCCAGCACATTACTGTCACCTAGAGCAATTAAGGACAGAGGAAATTACAGCATGATATACAATCGGTCACATAAACATCCACATGGATCCCGTGCTGCAAATCACCTTGCATCTGACTGGGAATTTTCTCCTGGGAGTACCCACAGGGGTTGGCGGGAATCACACAGGACATCCCGCCATAGATGCTGATAGAAAGAACCTCAGCAAGAGCCCTGGGTCCCCGGCTGACACCAACTGTCACAACCACTTCAGCTCCCCAGGCCTTGGTTTTCTCTGTCTGGAATAAGGGCAGCAAACCTGGACCAAGTCCAAGGTCATTTCAACTCTAACATTCCATTATTCAAATAAGAGACTGGGCATCAGCATGGCCAGGCCTCTCCCAGCCCTGCTGACCATGTGTGGGGCTGCACCAGCCGAGTCTATGTATCCCCAAGGGGCTAACTGCAGCCAGCAAAGAGGACAGCCCCTCGCCTGTCCTGAGAGACAGAACTCAGGTCTTCACTGTGTTTCTGGGAACACGCACGAGACCTGCCATTTGCTCACATTCTGAAAGAGTGCAGAAAAAGAGACCATGCAGAGCTCCGACCTCATTTAGAATAACAGGTGAAAGCAGCCCAAAAGCCCATCCTCAGGCTTATGGCCGGCTGCACCACCCAGGCCAGAGGACAGTGCTGAGTGACAGGTCCCGTGGTGAAAGGGGGCTCAAGCCAAATCAACTGCCCCTTGAGCTAGCCAGGTGCAGAATCATACTGATGAAGTGATCTTTTTTAACTCAATGGGGGGAAGAAACGAATGTCCGGGAAACAATTTTATCTTCCTTTCCAAAAGAAATACTGGACTTCAGATTAATACCAAACATGAAGAGGACATTAGCCCAAGACAGGTACTCTCAGCATTACTAAACGATGACTGGGAAAACAGGGTATACCAACATGAAGGAATTTAACTCAGACGTTGACCATCTCTGTGGTCCGAAAGGAGCAGAGAGGCCAGACCACCACATTCGAGGTCACGTGGAATTTTAAATGACCATCTCTGTGGTCTGAAAGGAGCAGAGGCCATGTTCAAGGTCACGTGGAATTTTAAACCAATAGGGAAATGAAGCTGCTTCCACGCTACACTCATTTCAACTTGTTCCAAGGAAGACAAGTCCAGACTAACATGTTTCTGAGGAAATGAATTATGTGATTGATTCATTCAAATAATCGATACTTTAGCCCCTTCTATGTCATATGCTAGGTCCTGAGACCTGGAAATGCAGAGTTGAAAGAGTCTGTCCTGTGCACTGTTTGTAAATGTGAACAGTGACTAACTCATCTGCTAGCTCCTTCCCAGGCCACTTTCATATCTGCCACCCAGCCTGAGATGGGGACTTGATGAACCATGTCTTTGTGAGTTATCTGAGTCTCATAAGAACCCCATGAAGTACTTAGTGCCAATATTGCTATTCCCACCCTACTACCTTCTGCCTCACCCCACCATGCTGCCTCAGTTTCCCAACATTTCACAAATGTGGGAGTCTCGCCACGGCCACGGTACACAGTGAAGGGCTCAGACAGCCTGATTCCTTAAGGAGGGGGAACGTCGCTCAGAAAGGCTTGAGTCACGTTCACTCTCCCTTCGTGGATAACAGCAATACCCACATCAACCCATTAACTTTCAAATTCACAAAAACTAAATCTTCTCAAAGGTGAGTCATGAGCCCCACATCAAACTGAAACGTCTTTCCATCACGTGGCCAGCTGAATCAAACTGACTGGGCTGGAAACCTGGATATATTAAACTTCTTGATTTGACACAGAAAATACTAGAAATCGTGATGAGGCTATTACGTGTTAAAGATGAATGCAAAAGTTGGAATGGAACTGAAATTGCAGACCATGGTAAAGCAGCTGTCCACATTAACAAAACACGTGTTAACAAAATAAATCCTAATGGTATGTATGACTATTATGAATCCATAGCAATAATTTTTTAAAAAACTGGTGTTGGTAGAGGCAGGTTTTCAATTGGACCCCAACTCATGAAGGCCACCTCCACCACACTTTGCTACCCAAAAGCCCAGTGCATTCGGGTCCTCTGATAAGTAGGTCATTGTGATATTTCCAGCAAGTCAATAACCCTACAAAGAAAGGCTCTTCCCTGAGCTGCCAGGGCATTGCCAGGGCCTCCTTTAGTACGACCCATGCCCAGTCCTAGCCAGGCCTCTGCTCTCACTGGCCCAGGGGCAGCCTGGGCAGCAGAGCTTTCTAGAACTCCTGAGGTGGGTTCCTATGGGAAGCCAAGACTGAGAACCGCTGACCATCAAGAAGGTGGCAACTCAATTATACAGTCCCTTCTTTAGCTAATCATATTTTAATAGAATGATCAGATGATATTGCTAATTTATAAAAAGTAAAACTAAAAACCAACCTCTTAAAATATAGGCAGGTATTGAGGGGAGAGGGCCTGGTTGCTGTGGCTCTGTTCTGTCAACGAGATACTTCAGAAGCTGGTGCCAATGCAGTTTGACCCCTACACCACATTTGGACACACCAGAACAGCAGCCCTCCTCGACAGAGTCAAACGCAAGTCAGAGAAAGAAGATAGGAAAACAAAGGAGATATTTTTATAATAGTTTGTCCATTCCTTATGGAACCTACCGAGTACTTCCACCGATCCGGACGTTGAGGGATACTAAGGATTGTTACTCACAAGAAACCCTTGGGGGACAAAGTTAGGGTGACATCAGAAGCACAGCATTGAAACAGAACACAGAATGAGCAACTCAGGAACCAGAGTTTCCTTCAGAAGTCATAAGCTTACTGAAACCATTGGCAATGTTTAAAAAGTTCTCCTTCTTAAAAAAAAAAATAGCCAGGAATTAGTGAAAGAAGAAAACAACATTGCTTTCTGCCATAATTTCCTATTTGACTTCTTATAAAAACTGCCAGAATCGACAACGGATTTGAGAGTCACTGCATCTTCTCCTAGTTAAAACAGAATTCTCTCCAAATCTGGGGTCTTCTTTAGCTTCTGTACATTTCGGCACACAGCTTCTGAAGGATCTTTCAGGGTCTTGGAACGACCTCAGAGGACTCAGGATCAGAGCCAAGAGGGCCCCAGAGGTCCGCTGGTCCACCCCGCATCTCACGGATGCAGAAACACATCTCAGAACCCCTGACCCACCCCACGTGGAAACCAGATTCCCTGTCATGGACAGAGAACCCAAGATTTCCATCAAATGGAGAGAAAAGTCTGCTTGTCCTGAATGTCCTTCTGATCATGCACAAACTAATATTAACCACGTGAGGCAAGCCCTGGGAGAAAAGAGAATGGGAAAGAACAATTAAGAAGGTTTCCTAAAATTGTGTTACCCTTGAAGAAACAAGGAATTCTATGAGTCTTGAAACCAGGACAGAAGTGGAATATCCTAGTGTTCTCTGTGAATTCTAAACTTATATACCAAAAAAAAAAAGCTCTATTTTTAAAATTCCTGAGGACCAGTAGATGAACAATCCGAATATTCTAAACCTAATCTTAGGATTTGAAGATAAATGTTTAATCTTGGCTTGCAGAACAAATTCACCTCATAGAGACTAAATCTAATCCACTTGGTGGAGTCAACATTCTATGAAGTCAAAGGCAAAAAAAACCCATAATAATAACAAAATTAACAAAAAAGTTGTGCTCCGTTGTTTTCCTAAACTCTTCTGAAGCCGTAGCTTTCACAGATACAGTCTCAGTCACAAAATACGGACCTATACGCAGCATCACATCTCAGCTGTAAAGTCAGCCTTTTTTGTGAATTGGCAAAGTAGTCTATGTTAGTTATTTCTGCTAAAATTCATACAGCAACAGTGACTCATTTAGTTCACACTTCTACCATTCTTAAACCTGGGAGCCGACAGTGATTCTGGCTCCGTTGCGTCTGACATTTGAGTCTGAGACGCTCTCTGCAAAGGGGGCCTTCCCAGAGCACCGGCACCGTGAAGAGCACAGGGGCGCTGGGTAGGGGTAAGCGAGGAAAGAACCTCGTTCTAAAATTGGCATTCCTCATTCCGTCATCACCCACGTATAAAGAGGACAACAATATTGTTACTGATTTATATAAAAATCCATACCACCCACTGCTCTACAAGGTACACGATTTCCCATAGCAAAAAATAAAGTTC